TCAAAATATATAACACGACCCTTCATGTTTTGAACTAAATTGTAACGGTGACAGAATCTGTTAAACTTAAAGGAAATGGACAAAATGACCAAAATGCCCTGATATAATTAAGCAAAAGACAGCTCAAAAAAATCATTTGTTTTATTCTCTAAATAGAGAGAATTGAGGGTTAAGGGGTAGAATAGGTATATTTGATAAAAATTAGGTATAATTTTTTTTTTAAAGTTCCAATAAGTCATTTCCGTTAAATTTAACAGATTCTGTTACCTTTACAATTTAATTCAAAGCATGAGGTGTCGTGTTCTATATTTTGAAACCATATGGGACTTTTCTGTGTATTAAACTTACCACAGGGGACTTTTTTGTTTTTTACCCAATTTTTTATGATCAGTAGAGTTAGTAATAGAAGTTAGCCGCCAAGAGGCTTTGATATATAGCCTTTGCGTCCGTCTTTTAGCCTTAAGAAGAAGTAGTAGCCTTCGTTGTGTTTTGTATGGGGTAGCCAGAGCCTTGTTTGATTAATAGAAAATTCCCTTTGCCTCAATATCATTTTTTTAATTATTCTTGTGGATTTTGTGGTTTTATCAATTTGGGTCCATCAGAGTGGTACCAGAATTATGATAGATTGAAGTATGGCAAATCCAAACCCCAATATTGTCTGTTTTGTCAACAAAGTTCAATTTTTGGTAGAAATAGATGATAACTCATCTTAAGGCATGTAAATTACGATATATTGAATCTACACTTGCTCAAAATGCTAGCGAGAATGATAAGGCAAAAGATAACTTGGCTTTGTCACAGATTCATCAGGCAATTGACATGTTAGTTTTTGAAAAAATTGCTACGGCTAATACACAAAGAAGACTTGGGATATATTGAAAGAAACATACATAGGAATTGACAGGATTCGTCAAAATAATTTGATGATGTTGAACAGGAAATTCGAATGTGTGACTATAGAGAAGTCGGAATCTATTGAATTATATTTTTTTTCGTTTGTAAGATATTAAAAACGAGATAAAACTTAATTAGTATAACTTTCCAAATAGAACATTTGTTGAAAAAGTTTTCAATGCCTTACTCACGAAATTGGATCATGTGGTAGCTATAATCTAGGAAATAAAAAATTTGAAGAATTTGAATATTGAAAATTTGGATGGATCATTAATTCTGCATGAACAAAGAATTAAGAAGAAATTGGAGGATATCCCGGAGATGGATACAGTAGAGAAGGCATTGCATATGTAACTGAATTTGAAAGACAATAATAATGTTAGAGAGCAAAGTGAATCCAAGCAGATGAACAGGGATGGTTATAATAATAGAGGTGGTCACAATAACAGAGGTGGTCATAGGAACAATAATAGAGGTCGAGAAGATACATTAAATCTTAAACGTGGTAGAGGTAATAATTTTAATTTTAGAGGTGATTTTGATAGAGACAGAGATGGTAATTTTGGCAGAGAAAATAATTTCAATTAGAATAATTTTGGACAGAGTATTCAATGCTATAATTATGAAAACTTGGGTCATAGACAAATTGAATGTAGATTTGAAAAAAAAAAAGATAGAAATTTTCAATCTAATGTTGTTGACAATCAGATGTAGAATAATAATAAAAAATTTGAGACTTCATTATTAGCCTGTAATGCTGTTGATCTAGTTAATAAAAATAAATGATACTTGGATACGGGTTGCAGTAACGGTATATCTGGCAAGAAAGAATTATTTGTTGAACTTGATGTATCTGTCCATGGTGAAGTAAAATTTGAAAAAATTTCTATTAGTCTGAAAAATGGGTCTACTAATTTTTTTCTGATGTTTTCTATGTTCTTGGGTTGCATCATAATTTGTTGAGTATAAGCCAATTATCTGAGAAAAAAAAAATGATATTAGTATCCGAATGGTACTTGTACCATTTTTTATAAAAAATATTGGAATAATTGCTAGTGTATCAATGATTTCAAATCGCTTAGTTGCATTGAATTTGAGTTCTATCAATTTTTTTGTTTGAATATGGTGATAAAAGATAGTAATTAGTTATGGCATATATGATTTGGCCATTTGAATTTTGACAATTTCAAACTTTTGACCAGTAAAAAAATGGTTGGTAGATTGCCTAATACTAGAAATCCTATTAGAGTCTGTGATATATGCGTTTTGAGAAAGCAATAGAGGGATGCTTTTTAGATTGACATATCATGGAGGGCCAAAAAATCATTGGAAATTATTCACTCAGACTTGTGCACTATGGTTTCTTCTAATGGTAGTTGCAGGTATTTTATTACCTTTATTGATGATTTCAGTAGAAAAGTCTTGGTATATTTTTTGAAACAAAAATATAATGCCTGTGATATTTTTAAAATTTTAAAAACTTTTGTTAAAGACAAAGTGGGTATCAAATTAAAATTTTGAGAACAAATAGGGGTCAGGAATATTTGTTGTGTGATGATTTTTTTTGAAAAAAATGTGATACATCATCAATTGACTACCAGGTACATTTTCCAACAAAATGGAGTGGCAGACAGGAAGAATATAACAGTTATGGATATGTAAATCCTACCTACTTTAAAAGTTTGGTAGAAAATTTGAGATATTTGACGTCTATGAGGCCAGATATCAATTTTGCTGTTGGTGTGATTAACAAGTTTATGAAAAATCCACGTCAGTCACATTTGCAGGCGGTTAAGAGAATTTTGAAATATATTGAAAGTACTCGCAGTGTTGGCATTTTATATTCAGAAAATTATCCAGTTGAATTGTTTGGCTACACTGATAGTGATTGACCAGGTGATACAATAGAGAAGAAGAGTACTTCAAGTTATGCATTTTTTATTGGTTCTGACTTATTTTCCTTGAGTTCAAAGAAACGACAGGTGATTGCATTGTTTATAGCGGAGGCAGAGTATATTGCAGCAGCTAATAGTGCTAATCAAGTTTTATGGTTACATTGCATGTTTGGTATTCTACAATACAAGCAGGTTGATCCTACGAAAATTTATTATGATAGTAAGTCAGCTATTGAGTTGTCCAAGAATTTAGTACTTCATGGATGTAACAAGCATATTGGTATCAAATATCACTTCACACGTGAGTTGGTTCGAGATAGAGAGAGGTTGAAATTGATTATTGCAGAATTAAATAGTAAGCGGCTGACATTTTTCACCAAGATATTGAAGATAGAGATTTTTGTCGAGTTGAAGAATATGTTAGGTATGTCCAAGTTAGAGGAGACTGGTTTAATGGAGGCAATATAGAAACACAAACCAAGCCTTTATTATTTGTTTATGCTGTCATGTGGGATTGGTAAGTAGTATTGTTGGTTGGTAGGGTGATCCCATGGGATTGAATTTCTTATGACTAGCAGAGTTAGTAATAGAAGTTAGCCGCCAAGGGGTTTTGATGTGTAGCCGTTGCGTCCGTCTTTTAGCCTTAAGAAGAAGTAGTAACCTCCGTTGTGTTTTGCATAGTGTAGCCAGAGCCTTGTTATGATTAATAGAAAATTTTCCTGTGCCTCAATATCGTTTTTTTTTTATTGTTTCTGTGGGTTTTGTGTATTTATCAATTTGGGTCCACCACCTCTTCCAACCATGATCTTAAGCATATCAGCTCACTTCCACTCTATTTCTTTACCATGATTTTAAGTACAATAATTTCCTAAAAAATCAAAAAAGAATCATATCTATGAATTTTGAGAAAAGCATATATATGCTCTAACATGATTCTACATATAATAGTGGATTATTAAAAATTATTAATTACATATTTTTGAAATGAGCACCATCGGTGTACCAAAAGCACTAATGATTATAACACTAAACATGCAAAGTTGAGTAATTAATTGAAACTGAAATTACACATAGACAAAAACTCAACTAAACAATGTTAGAATGGAATAGATTAGAGAACCATTGATTGATCTAACTCTGGAACTGGGGTTAAGACAGTCTTCCCAAGCAACTTTTTTTGTCCATGATTTGGCTATCATATCACCATCTTGAAATTTGTTCAGACACACTATGGGAGGCTGGAATCAATAGCTTGGACTTGGATCATTTCTAGAAGCTGATGATCATTATTGCTCAAATATTGAATTTGATACAAATGTCAGTGGAATCAACTTCGTACTTTCTTTTTTTTTCTCTTTTCTTTTGGAGTTCAAGCCTACCTACAAGGGGAAGGATAGAGGAAATGCATAGAGGGAGATTTAACCTCTACCCAAGCGGCAGATACAATGGGTCACGATACAGCTGGTTTATTGATGTATTACAGCGGAAAACGATGTAGATGAGCAACCTTTTCAAGAACATAATTCAATTCAATTGTTAGACGTAAAACTCTATTCCATGTCAAATTGGGTTTCTGGCTCTATCTTTTAGTTTGATCCAACATGGATTGGCTGCCTTTTGTTTGCTAATAAAGATTTTAAATCATGGAATTTCCCTGTAGAATGCCTTTAATTACGTGCCACTAGACTAGAAACGGTAATTGTTTAACAGATATTTATTCCAGGCATTGAAATTATGAACTGCAACAGTCATTTGCCTAGAAGTGAAAACCAATTGTCTTCAATAAAGGTGAATAAAAATCGATGAAGATAGATAGGTACTAGAAACTTAAAAGCAGAAGATGATAGGTGTGATGTAATACGCAGCAGTTGTGATCATCTTTCCATATCACATCTCGAAAGATCCCAAGATGAATGTGTGTTTGATTTGGGGTTTGATTCATCAAAAGCCATCGTAGCAGATAATGCACCTTACCATGCCATTGCTAAAGTACAAAAATTTCATGCAAATACAAACACAAAAGGATTGAACAATACATGTCAGAAACTCATTGCCACCAAGGCTTACACATCATCCTTGGTGTAAAGAAGTGTTCCTCTTCATCAGCCATGCACAAGACTGAGTAGCCAAGTGTAAAATGAAAATTTTGACGTGTCGATTCCTCATCTTCCATTACATGTTATAAAAGGAGCCATTTCCAAGCTCTAATCGCCGCATCCCCTCACCACAAAAACACACTACACTCTCCTCTGTTGTCAGAGAATGGCTCACTCTCATATGATTTCTCTTTCCTCGTACGTTCTTCTCTTGTTCCTCGGCTGTTTGGCTCAACTAGGGAGACCAGAGCCAAGGCTCGGGGGTAAAACTCAGTGCAATATTCAGAAGCTTAATGCACAAGAACCATCCTTCAGGTTCCCATCAGAGGCTGGTTTAACTGAATTCTGGGATTCTAATAATCCAGAATTTGGGTGCGCTGGTGTGGAATTTGAGCGTAACACTGTCCAACCTAAGGGCCTTCGTTTGCCTCATTACTCTAACGTGCCGAAATTCGTCTACGTTGTCGAAGGCAAGTTTCATTTCCCATCTTTCCATTATTTCTGGAAGTTTTTCTCTATTTTCTTCTTAATGATCGTATAATTGATTTTTTTCATGATTTAATCATTTTGGCATAATGCAGGTACCGGTGTTCAAGGCACTGTGATCCCTGGTTGTGCTGAAACATTTGAATCCCAGGGCGAATCATTTTCGGGTGGTCAGGAACAGCCGGGCAAAGGGCAAGAAGGTTCCAAAGGTGGTCAGGAAGGGCAAAGGCAAAGGTTTCCAGACCGCCATCAGAAGCTCAGAAGGTTCCAAAAAGGAGATGTCCTTATATTGCTTCCTGGTTTCACTCAGTGGACATATAATGATGGAGATGTTCCGCTTGTCACTGTCGCACTTCTTGATGTTGCCAATGAGGCTAATCAGCTTGATTTGCAGTCCAGGGTAAGAAAACTATCATTCCAAACTTGCCAAGTATTAATCAAAAAATAATCTCTTTCTGGGCATATTTTATTGCGGTACCATCTTAATAAAAAAAATTTTTTTTTACTTTCAGAAATTTTTCCTAGCCGGAAACCCGCAACAGGGTGGTGGAAAGGAAGGCCATCAAGGCCAGCAGCAGCAGCATAGAAACATCTTCTCAGGATTTGATGACCAACTTTTGGCTGATGCTTTCAATGTTGACCTCAAAATAATACAGAAATTGAAGGGTCCGAAAGATAAAAGGGGTAGCACAGTCCGAGCTGAAAAACTTCAACTGTTCCTGCCTGAATATAGTGAGCAAGAGCAACAACCCCAACAACAGCAGGAGCAGCAACAACAGGGTGTTGGAAGAGGATGGAGATCCAATGGACTTGAGGAAACTTTGTGCACGGTGAAGCTTAGTGAAAACATTGGCCTCCCCCAAGAGGCTGATGTATTCAATCCTCGTGCTGGCCGCATTACCACTGTTAATAGCCAAAAGATTCCTATCCTCAGCAGCCTCCAACTTAGTGCAGAAAGAGGATTCCTCTACAGCGTAAGCAAACACAATAGCATTAATACATAAATTTTGTTACGTGAAATGAGTGATTGAGTTTGTTGTTTGGTAATTGCAGAATGCCATTTTTGCACCACACTGGAATATCAATGCACATAGTGCCCTGTATGTGATTAGAGGAAATGCAAGAATTCAGGTGGTGGATCACAAAGGAAACAAAGTTTTTGACGATGAAGTAAAACAGGGTCAGCTAATAATTGTGCCACAATACTTTGCTGTGATCAAGAAAGCTGGAAACGAAGGATTTGAGTACGTTGCATTCAAGACGAACGACAATGCCATGATTAACCCACTCGTTGGAAGACTTTCGGCATTGCGAGCAATTCCTGAGGAAGTTTTGAGGAGCTCTTTCCAAATTTCCAGCGAGGAAGCTGAGGAATTGAAGTATGGAAGACAGGAGGCTTTGCTTTTGAGTGAGCAGTCTCAGCAGGGAAAAAGGGAAGTTGCTTGAGCTAATTATGTAAAAATAATCGTATATTAGTCCATGCATAGTCTACCAACTATATGTGTGAATCTAATTCCAAAATAAAATGGTCAATGGATGTAAAGACATGGCAATCCAAGCCTTACTACTGGCGTTGATTGCGAGAAGTTTGATGTTTGGTGACCATGAGTCAATAATAAACTATGATAATTAATGTAAAATTTTCCCATTCAGTTCTTGTTCCATTCCCTCCAGGTCCTCTATTGATGATTTTACAGCTCAGTCATGTTCTTTAGTTTTGGAACTCCAAGATACCCTGCATGTTCTTGAAGATAACATAACACCATTCCTGTAAGAATTTGTGTAGAAAGTTCACTGGAGCTTCCATGAAATAACTTCAAATAAAAGGAAAGGTACAATACGAACTTAATCTATGTTGTTTAGGCGGTCTCTCCCGTACCCCAAGTTACTTTGCTGCATAGACTAATTCTCCAAATGTTTGCAGTTATTCTTAGCTACAATAAAGATTACACAGATTCCACTTCTAGCCTGTCCTTCCCAATTGAAGCAGAGGAGTCTTCTGATTCAGTTGAGACTTGTAGTACATGATCAGGCCTGATTACCAAGTACTTCCAAATTTTAGTCTCAATAAGAAGCAAAGAAGAAAGTATTATCAGCTGATCCTCAGCCATAGAAGAATCAAATGATATGAACTAACATAAACAATTTAGCATTTACACTGGCTTTAACATAGCATTACCTGATTTGCCGAGGGAATTCTGAAGTACAATGTTCAAAAGCCAGTATCTCTCTGCTTGCTGAATGGGGCGTACTTTTTTGCCTCTAGCAGACTCCTCTTTTCCGTGACAAAACATGTTTTGGGAGTTCCCATTTGGTTCTGAAGTAAATATCTGGGGGAAGCCGTACAACTTGCACATTGGTTTGGGACTGCACTTGATCTTCAAGTCAGATATCTGTGCTTTGGAGGCGGAGTTGCCATATCCTGTATAGACATACCAAAATAAAAGCTATTAATCTAATGAGAAACCAATAGAACACAATTTCAATTTCAGTGCTGAAGGACAATACAGAGGGAAAGAAACTTGCATCTTGGACTCTTGATGTTCTTACTAGTCTTGTCATGGAAATCTTGAATTTGTTCACCAGAAGTACCTTTTATCACAAGATCAACACCCTCTTCAGCATAAAGCCAGAGGACATTAGCTTTGATGACAACAAAAGTACTACTAAATAGTGTCTGCTTCTCATTCAGCATTTTATGATAAGAACTCCCTATCCATCATAAATCTGATTCCAGATCCACGTTTTACACTTTACAGTGTTAAAACCACCAATGTAATTATCATTGTTGCCAACTTTTTGATGATCCATTTATAACCATTTTTCAACCGGTATTGTTGGATTATTGACTGTTGAAACTATCAACGCCTTTTTATGTAATCACAATAAGAGGTATGAACTTTGAAAAGTTCCCTTTCCTTATAATTCTTCATAGGTTGAGGTTGGATTGGGAGCTTTATCAGTTATCAACACAAAATATCAATACGGCGCCTAAAGATCTCTAGAGAGTAGAGAAGGACTGTAACCTAAGGGAACTGGAAATTCTACTGAATCGCCATAGCGCCTATTATAATAACCTCCATAAAATGCAACACAAAACCTCTATCATCCCCAAAAATTGAAAATATCAAAAGCAACAAAAGTTTGTGATGTGTCATCTAGATTTTAATGCAATGGTAGATTGCGACCATCAGTAATCAGTTTTGGCTCTTGAAAAGCCATCAAGGTTGCTGTTCCATTGCAGAGATAAACAGACCATAGCAATTTTCCTTTCAAGAAATTGAAAGTGAAAGCCAATGGACCCAACAATGAACAAATTAGTCATGCCTCACCTTCCATAAGCTTGTCTGACATAAACAGCAGAGATGTAAAAGTGCATAATACCTGCTGAGGAGATGAAGGAAGAACAGTAGAATGCAGTTGACCCTCATCAGTCGCGTGACTCTCGTCAACCACTAGTTGTTTTCTTTTTCTTCTAGCTTTCTTCCAACACTTCTCCATTTTGTTATGCCTAATTTCTTCCTTCATTTCTTGTCTGATCTTGACACTAATGTTACATTAGAATGGCATGCGAGAAATCCAGGAAAATTATAAAAGTAATAAGCATTCACATTCCTCTACAAATTATAAGCATTCCCCAGTAATAAGCGATGCTTAATTTTCTTAAGCATTCTATTATTTAGACTTAGATGCATCAAAATTTCTTATTAACATCAAACAGGGTCCTAAACGCCTAATAAAGTTACTAATTTTCATTGCATAAGAGGAGAACTTCTTAACTCATAACATGTCATACAAATTAAGCCATGAGCATGAACAGGATAAAAGAAACACTAACCATCTATATATATATATATATATATATATATATATATATATGTGTGTGTGTGTGAAAGTAGTTATTTTTAATCAGAGTTGTTTCTCACTTCTACGTGGCCTACCTAATTGAAAAGAATTAACGGGTTCTGGGCCACTTGGTTTTTACCCATATTAAATTCTATTTGGATTATATTATATGTTTAAAAATTATATCTAATTTTAAAATAACTTTAAAAAACAACTAATCTTATCTTAATGATTCTGTTTTCTATCAAATTATATTTAGCCCATCATATTTAAAATGATGCATTTCAAGTGCTCAAATACTCAAGACTCAGCAATTCGGTTGGAATGCAACACTGATCTCATTCTCTTTTTCTCCTTTTACCTGAAAATTATGTGCTCATCACAGTAAAAGACAGTAGTCGATAGTTCTGTCTTTAATATTCTAATTTTGATGATTAACAAACTGTTAATGAAAAAGAACTAATGCTTTATTTGATTATTTGAATGAAAATTGTAGTATATAGTGGATTATCAAGTAGATACAATATATCAGAACATAGAGTTTCCAAGGCAAATGAAAGCAAAAATACACATTCTACATACTGATCAAGAGGAAAACATTATTAGGACATAAAATTATCATTCCCTACATGTTTTAGTTCTTGATCACTCGTTTGATGAATTCTGAACCAGTATAACGTTGCGTCGGTTGGAAAAGTAAGCAAGCATCTTATGCTTTGGTGGCAACTCTTCCTTAATCAAGGGGTGGTTGAGAAAATTATTGATCCAGTTTGTGATAGCTGGGAATTTTGACGAGTCAAGAATTTTCATCGAAACAATTTCCTCGTACACGGGGAGTTGGTAAGAAATGAAGCCAGCCACAAGGTCTACAAAACCAATTTTATCTCCTCCAAAAAACTTTTTCCCATTTAGCTCCTTTTCCATCTTCTCCAAGGCCTCCATAGCTGCTTTTTTGGCTCTTTCGTGGTCTTCACCTCTTGAACATAGAGCTTCCCATGCATATGCTTGAAGCTACATTAACAAGACATAATGATGAAGCATAACTTAGGATACAATTGTTCAACAATAGACTCTTTAAATAAAATACTAAGGCACGATTATTGAAACTAATACAGATTATGGCAACTAATAAGCTAGTCTGCTATTACATTGATCTATCATGTGGCAAGTTAGTTTAGGTTGCAAATTAAATTGGTAGAGAGTTAGCCGAAGTTTGAAAATGATTTTCATCAAGAAAATTAAGTTGCACACGAAGGAAGTTATTCTAGTAATGATCATCAAAGACAGCAAGCAAAAATGTTAATTACCTTTTCTGCAGCAAATTTAGCCCAGAAACGAGAATTGGCTCTTTCATAAGGATCTTGAGGCAACAACGGACTATGTTTCCACACTTCATCAATATATTCCAGGATTACAATTGACTCTGGTATTGGTTTTCCATCATGAACTAGCACAGGAACTTGTCCCTTAACAGGATTCAGCTTCAAAAGTAAAGGGCTCTTGTTGAATACGTCTTCTTCAATGTATTCATACTCTATCCCCTTCAGTTTCAGTGCCCACTTCACTCTTAGAACATATGGGCTCACCCAAAATCCCAAGAGCTTCACTCCCTGATTTTCTTCCATTTACACTTGGTAGTCTTACCGTGCTTGGGCACTGGCATTTAATAGTCTTTGTTGGAAGAGCTATAGTTTGTGATCATCGTATTTGACCATTATTATGGAGACACATCATGCATGACGACATCAAAATTATGATATTGTATGGCATTGACCATTTTATGTTATTTTTACTTTTTAATTTGGACTTTAAGGAATGCAAGTGATAATTGGATTGGATTGAAAATGCCCTTTTTAGAATTTAAGGCACATCTAAGGTAGGTCTGCCAATCGGGCTATATGAGTTGGGCTTTCATAAGCTCAGATTCAACTCATTTAATTTGTAACACTTTCGGATTTCGGATCATGAGTTTCGAATTAATAAATGTGAAGATCATACTCAACTCACAAAATATTCGAATTTTTATCCTTATTCGGGTTTAGCTCAATCTCACTTATTATTCCTCAATTTTCTTAATATAATTACTATAACTATTACATTGTAAAATTAATTTAACATTCACAAGATTATAACACTAAAACTAAACATAAACAAGCAACAGTTCTTGTAAAGTAAATAAACCAAGAATTTTTCAACAGTATTTATATTTAATTCATTCAAAATACATGGAAAATGGTAATAAAACATGGGTCATAAGCCAATACAACTTCAACGGTTGGAACTTCCTCATAGCTTTATGATTTGAATCCAAACATACTTGATGATTTGTGTTTTTAGACAAAAACAAATCAACCAATATTGTGTCAATACAAAAATTTATTAAACCAATAAGAAAAATTAGTTTCAGTTATGGATTATCAATATTGGCTCTCAAGAAAGTTCATAAAGGAGTCTTCAGATGTATTTTTGTATTTTATAATTTGTATATATTTAGTATTTAATAATAATATATTTGAATAAATAATTATATATACTATCAAAAAATAATATTATATATATCATTATATATATATATATATAGGTAATTAAAGGGTCAGGTCTATATCGAATTTAAATCTAATAAGGCCCAAGCTTGACTCTCTGTTCATATTTAATTCGGATCTAATTTTTAGGTTCAATTTTAGACCTGCTCATTGAAAGGTTGGGTTCATTGGATTTTGGGCCCGAACGAATCAAGTTCGGGCTGACCCGGCTCTATTGACTGTCTTAATCTAAGGATCAAGTAGCCATTCATTAATAAATTGTCCACACCTTCTCTTCAGTAAATTTAGCCCAAAAGCGTGCTTGGGCTCTTTCATAAGGATCTTGAGGCAACAGGTGAGTCTGTTTCCACACCTCATCAATGTATTCCAGAATGATTATGGATTCTGAATTTGGTTTTCCATTGTGAACAAGAACGGGAACCCTTCCATGAACACGATTCAACTTCAACAGCAAAGAGCTCTTATTGTATGTATCTTCTTCTATGTCTTCACACTGAATCCAGTCCCCACTTCACCCTTTGAACAAATGGGCTTTACGCAGAATCCTAAGAGCTTTACCCCCACCAGTTTCTTCTATTTTAGAGTTAGAGACTTGGGAAATTCGGAAGCTGCAAAATATAACCCTGGTATCTATGAACTTGTAAAAGAGCAAGATCAAGTCATCTAGTTGAATTTAAGCAAGCAATACGCTGGTGACATGAAGAACAAATGGCCTTGATTCTGGGACTTAGTCAATCACCATCCAAATTGGATTTTGTTTCTTTGCATTGACCTTTTCTATTTTCTTCCAGTATTTTAACTTTCAATCTACTGCAGATACTTAAAAAATTTCGAATACGTACTTTCTCATTTTTTTGTAGATTAGTTTACATGGTGAAAAATGATTCTTTTAACTTGTTAATGTTTCCATATAGAAGACTAGCAAAAATGTTCCTTCCGTTTGGTAACGAGTGATCTCAGCCAACAGACTGGTTTTGAATGGTTTTGGGCTTTACTGCAACATGCAGTCAGATTTAGGCTTCAGTGGAGTGTTAGGCAGTAACTTTGACATTAATCTCTGTCTTCTGCTATTTGCATTACTACTTATCACCTCATTAGCATAGCAAATAAATGTCAAAAGAATATTTCAGACTTAGCCTTTACCGTACCGAAGTTGCATATCTCGAGGAAACTCAGTTCAACCAGTTTCTTGAAGCACAGATGAAAAAAACTCAGCTAATAAGCCCTTTCACTATACAGATTTCAACAGATTCTTTTATTTTGGACAGACAACAAAAAGGTCCAACACAAGTACCTTGTACATCTACAAAGCTGCCTAGTTTTGTCGAGTGAAACACTGCAAAACGTCTCCAGAACAGGGATGCGTCTGTTAAGCATTTCGGCAAGAATCTTTTTCATCAGATATTTCTTTACTGCGTTTTGCGTAGTAATCAAACATCAGATCCTTTGCTGGCAAATCATCCTTGATCACTGGATGGTTGAGAAAATTGTAGATCCAATCGAATGTCGCTGGGAATTTTGATGAGTCAAGGATTTTCATGGATCCAACTTCCTCAAAAACAGGCAGTTGGTAAGAAATAAAGCCAGCTACAAGGTCCACGAATCCAATTGTTTCCCCTCCAAAAAACTTTGTCCCTTTCAGTTTCAGCTCCTCTTCAAACTTCTCCAATGCCTCTATAGATGATTTTACAGCTTTTTCACGCTCTTCACCTCTCGAACATAAAGCATCCCATGTAGACTCTCGAACCTGAATAATGCATAACATCAATACGAAATTAGGCTTCAATTGAAGCTCAAATCCCTTTTTGTAAAATCAATTTCTAATGCAGCAAAACGCTTTCATCCCCCCCCCCTAGCTATAAAGTAGCATGGGAGAAGATAAGAGCATGAGCTGCAAAATTTTTTATTTTTTATTTTGGTGGAGAACTGGTAAAAACTTCTGCTACGACGAAGGGTTGTCATAAGAAATGCTCAATTTTTAGTTTTTCGTGCTCGTGCTATGAATTAAAGGTAGATTCGAGGATCAAGGGAGAATTTATTACCTTCTCTTCAGCAAATTTAGCCCAGAAACGTGCTTGTGCTCTTTCATAAGGATCATGGGGTAACAAGGGGTTCTGTTTCCAGACCTCATCAATATATTCAAGAATGAGTATGGATTCTGAAATTGGTTTTCGATTGTGAACAAGAACAGGCACCAATTTCTGAACAGGATTTAACTTCAAAAGCAAAGAGCTCTTGTCGAATAGATCTTCTTCAATGTATTCATACTCAACACCCTTAAGTTTGAGCGCCCACTTCACCCTCTGAACAAATGGGCTTGCCCAGAATCCCAAGAGCCACACCCTTTGGCTTTGCATCGAGAATTTTTCCTAATCCTCCTCCTCCTCCTCCTCCTCCGCGGCCGTATTTGATCCTTTTTACCCTGTTGTTTTCCTGGAATTTCTTGGAGAATATCTCGAAGACTAGAGAAATCACATGAACAATATCTGGGCTTGTCTAATCTTTGATCTCATTCTTTGCGGTTCTCAATTCATATAATTATCAGTCGACACAAGGACTTGCCCACGTACTATGCAAATGATGACAGACTCAGTAATTTGTAAGATTTACTTTTACAGAGATTGGTTAAGGAATTCTATGAAGGCTAAAACAAAAAAGTATAAATGAGTAAATTTTTTGGTAGTTGACTCACCGTTTCAACTATTTGTTTCTTTACATTTTCTATAAAAAAAAAATTATATTTTTTCCTTTACAAGAAGATAGCTTCATCAGGGATTAAAAATGGAGCTTTCTAATCAGTAAAGCTGGCATCACATTCCATGGTGTCAAGCTTCTTGATAGGTGCAAACAAATATTGGTCGTCGTAATCATGATGAACTTGTTTTTTCACATAATTTGATCCGCATATTATTGTTTGCCTCAATTAAAACCAGGCCCCATAATGTAAAGCGACAGGAGAAACCAACAAGAAGGCACGTAACATCGAACATCATCATTTTTTTTTTTTTCGGATAATAAATAGTTCAGTGGATTTAGTTCCAGTCACCACCATAGCATGATGGACCATATCTTCAAATGTGCAGTCGTGGACAATGCAATTCAATCGAAGACATAAGAGACCCTCTCACGTCAAATTCACTAATCTTGTTGGGTGACAATTGTTTTGATTTTATATGTGACTTGAGTTAGTGAAATTTACTTGACAATGTCTCATTTGAACAATCGAATTGGAATCGAAAATTTCCGCAACTAAGAATTTAAAGTCACAAACCACGCGTTATAGGGATTCTTATGATCATCCACTCGAACACACAACCTTTTCAACCTTTCATGAAAAAAAAAAAAAATGATCTATCCTTATCAACACTACCGGCTTGTGCTCGCACAAAATCATTTGTTTTACAAAATTTTAGCATCACATACAGGTGAACATGTGGTCTCCATTAACCATACACTAAAGTACGCACCTTACGGATCGCCCTCGGGGCTTTGGTCTAATGGTAGTATCCTAATTAGGTGAGTATCACTGTTAAAAATTGAATTTCCGGTGGAACAACGCCCACACGGCTTAGGCAGGTTGGTGTAGGACACGTGTGGACTAGTCTGGTGATTTAGGATACCACACGTGGTCATATAACAAAAAAAGGTTTGGGGCCACTTACTATAGTGCTAATTAATTTTACTTTCTAATATAATAATTTTTTCAAAATATTGTTGGGGCAATTCATTAGTAATTCGTAGGACAGTTTTGAAAAATTTGTATGCTTCAAAAGGGTGAAAATAAAATTTTATGGATCTACACAATAGCCGCACATATAAATTGCGAATGTTGGGATCCTTTGAAAATGTTAGTGATTGCCGCTCATGCAAATAACAAAAGTAAATTTCACGGAAATTGGTTTTAAAATTTTTTTTTGATTTGAAAATTAACTTGTTAAAGAATTTTATGAAATTAAAAATACGTTAAGGAGTAGTAGTTTCTCAGGTAATTATTTTATGCATATGGATAGTTAATAGTCTAAAATTCCCAATAAAACAACAGAAAAAAAAGTCATTTTTTAAAAAAAGGCAATGTTTACTAGAAGCTAAGAATCCACTAAAAAAAATGGGGGAGTAGTAGCT